TGGATATGAAGTGAGACATTCTGCTTTATTTTTTAATCATGGTGAAAAAAATATGTTCGGTTTGTACTTAACCATTTATGTAAATGAAAATGTAGTGATCAGCAGGTAGTGGAAATCACCCATGTTTTGGGATAATCCGATACATGGACCCACTTCCAGCCACACCACTGAAAATTTGTAAATTGAAAAGTTGGGAGAGATGAAATTGTAACCTTGTTTTACCAAATGGTTTCTCAGGAATAAGGGCTCAGTTTATGGATATCTATAAATTGGGACAAAAACTGAACGTGACCTCCTGGGTTTCTAATTGTGGGGTCTACACAGTGCTTACCTCCCGAGAGCCCTCTGTTTGTGTGTTACAATTATATCATGGAGAGAAGGTCCAGAGACCAGCCTTACCTGTGCAATCTCTTTATCTTTACTGAAATGCTCCCAGAAGTTGGTGACTACGAAAGCTCCATACACCCCGGAAAGAGCAGCCTCTAAACTCTTTTTGTCATCTAGATCAGCAGCCACCACCTCTACTCCGGCCTCTTTCAGCTTCACGGCTGCTGGCTTACTGGTGTCTCGGGTCACAGCTCTGACAACGAAGGTACCATCCTCCAAGAGAGCTTTTGCTACTGAACCTCCTTGAGCACCTGTGAGAAAGAGTGAGAGTTACCGAGATGGATCTGTTAAATAGCACCAGCAGTGAATTCCAATATGACAGACACACAATGCCAGACAGAAACGTAGTCTTGATACAAGTACAACAAAGCAGCTTGACCAAGGGAAATTGTTGCCCAAGAAAATGCCAAGAAAGAAGACTAAAATAAGAAAATATAAGGGAAGGATAGGGATATGAAAATAAGTTTAGAAGAGTTGGGAAGTAAGGGTACAGTTATTACACACAAGTGCAGACACATAAAAAAAAAACCCAAAGAAAGTACTATATTAAAATAAAAAAATAAATAAAAAATAAATCAGCAACACAACCATTGATGATATCTTGATCTAGCTAAATGGATGGGCAGAGGAACTTGCAAACGAGAATCAATTATCTGCCTCGCCCAGACTCTAGGCCACTTTGTGAACAGAATATATTTTGGAACAAGGTCCTGCAGACAGAGGGATTCAGAAACACAGTGTGTGCTAGGAAACAGGAGGCCTTCAACAAGAGGTTTAATGGGGCTTCCATCAGAGTACACATGGTCCTGCAATATACAGGGGACTGTTCTCAGGTGTTGTAAGGGGGTTCTGACTCTGAGCATCAGTAGCATAATAGAGGGTGGTCTTCGCTGCTACATTCAGCCTAGGTGGGCTGTTCAGAAGAAATAAATAGCCACTGCCTGAAGTTTCCATCAGCAGAGGTCGTAAATAGGGTACTGGAAACGTCTATCTGCACTGGGTTTAAACTTACCAACTGACACGTTGTGAGTTGGCAGCTGTACAAAAATAAAGTACACTTGGCAAGCTAGTTGAAGCTATAAAGTTTGGAGCTTTGCTGGCATTGAGCTGCAAATCGGTAAATAAAAGGTTTTAAAAATGTTTTAATGGATTTATATAATAGGTTAAACATTTATTTCTTTATCAGCATCTAACTGGCACCAACATAAACTCCAGCAATTTACAATTATAGAAAGGGGAAGGAGACCCGGTTTAAACAAGCTTACTATCAGTATTTGAGGTAGGTAGATCTAGGTTTACCTTTAGGTGACTTACTGGTGATATGGTCTAACAGGGATTCATAGCTGGGTCTCTTTGGTTAGAGCAATGGTAACATCACTGCCTTAGAACTGACAGTATGCATGCAGCTACCCATACACGCAAAGTATGCATCTCACATTGCTATACACACCATTAGTAATTAATATCATACCTGTCCAAGGGTAAATTGTAATAGAATACACCTCATATGCATGCAGCAACACACACGCCAAGCAGTCTCACATTGCTATACACATCATTAGTAACTAACACCTTTACTGTCAGTAATTTACAACAGAACAGGATATTTGCACACATGAAAAGTGTTTGTAGAGAGCGACAGATCTTTAAAAGTAGTACGATAATAAAAGTGCAAGAATAGTGTATGGAATGTAGATGGGAACATAAAAAGCATAATTAAAGTGTATAGGAGAAATAAAAATAAAAAATAGAGTTTAGTTAAAGAGAGAAGGTCTGAAGGTAAGGTACTTTGTAGTTCCAAGCAATATTAAGTATAGCAAGGGGCGAGTTGCATTTATAAAGGAGGGGTACGTTGAGATGGGAAATTGAGAAAGGTAAGAAGAGAGAAAGAAGAGTCGAGGTCGGGAAGAACTGAAAAATATTATGGGTATTTCTTGATCAACTTTTTAAAAGTGGAGCAGTTACCGTGGAAACCAAATGAATGTTCCTAGTGAATGTTCCAGTATTAGAACTTTGCCCAGAATGGCTAGTTATAAGGAAGCAATAAGCCATGCTGATAATTCCAGGAGACGTTTATTGCACAGATTAAAAAAGTAACCAAGGTGGACTGGTTGCAGTGAGGCCGTAAACGGGAATAGGAGTTTTTAAAACAGGCAGCAACACTGTGACAGTATTTATTTAAACCAGTTACAAGTCCCAGTGTAAAGAATATTCAGGAGTTATAAGATAAAACTAAAAATGTAAAAACAAGTTGACAAATGATCCCCTCCTTGGGATTATATCTGTTAGTAATTCCCTTCAAGCAACTTGCCTACCTGTGGCTCCAAACACAGCGATGATCTTGGTCATGGTGATACAGGATAGTGAAGCTTGCAGGGATAGGATGAGTCGAGGATTACACTCTAGGAATGAGAGCACAAGGAAGGGATTAGCTAGCTTTATACAGTATAAAGGCTCCCTCCTCCTCCTGTCTGGGCACTATCAGAATGACTCAGCAAAGTCAACACAAATGAACGCCTGAGGGAACAAAAAAAACAGAAACAAAATACAGAGATGCAACCAATGTCCTACGTTATATAACCCTACACCGACCGGCTGCCGTATAACCAACCTCATACATTCACTAACCCTACACCGACCTGCTGCCGTATAACCAACCTCACACATTCACTAACCCTACACCGACCTGCTGCCGTATAACCAACCTCATACATTCACTAACCCTACACCGACCTGCTGCCGTATAACCAACCTCATACATTCACTAACCCTACACCGACCTGCTGCCGTATAACCAACCTCATACATTCACTAACCCTACACCGACCTGCTGCCGTATAACCAACCTCACACATTCACTAACCCTACACCAACCTGCTGCCCTATAACCAACCTCATACATTCACTAACCCTACACCAACCTGCTGCCCTATAACCAACCTCATACATTCGCTAACCCTACACCGCATGCCACCATATAACCATTAGTTCTGCAGTCATGCATTCATTCAGTTCAGCCATACATCTACTTCTGCTCCAAACTGCAGCCATGCACCCAGTGATGCTGTGCAGTCAGACTTATGCAAAACCTACACCAAATTGCAGTCATGCATCCACTAGCCCTATGTTAACCTATGCATCCTCTAGTCCTGTGCAGCCATTAAACTTATACCAACTGGTAGCTGTGGATCCAATGATCGGCACATCCTGTGACCCAGTGTCCCTTTAACGACAACTCTGTACTCTTCCCTTAAGCCAATGCTCTACCCAAGATGAAGAATTTTCATCTAGACCAGTTTCTTCTAGTTTGAACACTAACCTATTGTGTGGAACCTGAAGCCGTGCACCCACTGATCCCAAGCCAACATCAACATGCATCTCATAACGGCATTACATTCAGTCACTATACATCCAATCAGACTGTCAGCTGATCTAATCAGACTAAAGACATTCAGTGCTTCACTGCGGCTACCAGCATGACAATGCACTTTGTGTCCACTCAAACAACTAGGGTTTTGTGTAAAAAAAAAAAAAAAGTTTATAAATAAATGTATCCAAACAAACCCACAACTCAATAGACTAGTGTGCAATAGGTGGTTCTTTATGAAGAGTAGCAGCCACCATGGCAACCAATGTAATGCCGCTGCGGATTGCTCCACAGAGTGGAGGAAGTCAGATGCAGAGTGAAGCTTTCTCCAACAGCGTTCAGCAGTTCTGGAACATTTTTTCAGATATCGGGTCAGCTTGGTGTGCCAGGGTTGTAATTGGGAGTGCTTGCTGTGTTTAAATGTAGGAGGTGCCATGATGTCTAGTTGAGAGGAGAAAGTGGAGTTGTAAAGTGAGGTTGCAGAGTTAGGGCAAGTAAGATTTGCGATGGGTAAAAGGAGGGTTTGGAGTTTGGTGGAGAAATGCTGGAGATCAAGGCTGTGGAGGTTTCTGTGAGATTGCAGAGTTGAGGGTGTTTACATTTAAGTATGGGGTATGCCAATGTCAAACATCAGCAGATGGTGGTCAGATAGAGGAAATTGAGCATTGGATAGATAAGAGGTAGTACAGAGATTGGTGAAAATGAGGTCAAGAGGTTTTCCTGCTGTATGAGTTGCTGAGGTAGACCACCGTGTGAGGCCAAAGGAGGAGGTTACAGAGAGCAGACGGGAGGCATCAGGGCAGTTGAGGTTGTTGATTGGGATGTTAAAGTCCCCAAGTATGAGGGAAGGAGTGCTAGAGAAAGTGGGGTATCCAGGAAGAAAAGTGTTCAATGAATAGCCTCGGATGACTGAGGGGGGTGGGGGGAATAGATGATGGCAATTTTTAAAGGATGGGGCTTAAATATGCGAACAGTGTAAACTTCAAACACATGTTTGTGTTCCTTTAAAAATTAGAGTGGGGGCGTGGCCTGGATCCCACCGAGAGCAGTCGCATGCCTGCGGAGCTCCTGAGCAATAACGGAGATAAATGCAGATTAATCGATCCACACAAAGACAATCCGACTAATTCTCAGCCCCCACGCTCAACGACACCATGGGGAAAGAAATAAAAAGTTAAAAAAAACTCACCCTGAGGACGGATCCCGGAAAATAGGTGATCTTTTCCTGGCGAGGCCTAAACCTAAAATGGCGGCGACCCCAGATCCCCAAAGCTCATCCTCGGAGGAGGAAACACTGGATGCTCCAGATCCCATACCAGAGGCTACAGACCCCATCTCGAGCCTAGCAATGGGTGACCTGAGAGCTCCAGCCACCAAGGGTGACATCCTGAATATACTACAGAACCTGCGCACCCTATTCCACTCAGCCATGGCGATTTTGCAGGAGGAAGTGACCGCCGTTACTGGCAGAGTGAGGGTTGCCGAGGAAGACTTAACTGCTATGGCAGAACGCCAGCAAGCAACTGAAGAGAAGCTCACACACCTCCAGTCCTCACACCAGGCACTACAGGCACGGCTAGATGGCCTAGACGACGCAAGACACCGCTCCAATATAAAAATCAGAAGCATTGCCGACTCCATAGACGACAATGAATTGCCACAACTTACCCGACGCCTCTTAGCCACAATTCTTAACCCTAAGCAGACTCCCCAAGTTGCCAAGAGCCCCAACAGAGGCCTCCCGCGACTTCCTTCTCCGCTTACAGTATACCCAGGACAAAATGGCGGTGATGGCGGCGCTCAGCGGCCAGAGCCCATACCACTTCGAGGGCATGCAGCTCACCTTCCTGCAGGACCTTTGCAGAGCTACTCTTACCTGGAGACGGTCCGTGCAGCGAGTCACCACGACCCTCAGAGTGGCTGGAGTCAGGTGCCGATGGGGCCCATCAATGCTATTAGTTACAAAGGGAGCAACAACTTATCGACTAACGTCGACAGAAAACGCAGAAACTTTCCTCTGTAAATTAGGACTTAAAGCAATAGACTCCTCCAACCCTGCTCCTGGGACAGCCCCAACCCCCCGTTACGAAAAGCGCAACCTATAGGTTAGGGAAGGCACGGCAGCATACCACCATCCTCTCATAACCAGGAAGGCTTGATGGTACACGCCACAAAAGCCACCACTTAGCGCCCCATCATAACTACCGTTATGGCCGATGCCCACTCATACAGCCAATAAATAGCGCCTGCTAGGGCTGCCAACCCACTCCTACAAAGGAGGTGAGCGAGCACACACTGATGATAGAGTACTAAGCAGCATTAAACCCTGCCTCGATCTCCTGGACAGCCTTTAACCAAAAAAGACTCAACGTCTAGAACACAAAGATCCCCATGCTTCCAACCAATGAGCTAAGACCACTTAAAAGCACAGATGTGCCTATCGACAACTCTACCCTTACCATGAACAATACAATAGAAGATGGGGCTACAATGCTTACTTAAAAATCGGGTCACTAAAACACCACACTACTTCATCTGACTAACAAAACTAAGACTAGCCCATCTCACGTAGGATGAGAATCACCACCTTCCCTATCCAGACTATGCACAGCAGTTAAGATGGTTAGGTGTCCCACTCCTTTGTTATGCTGGTGTACAGTATTATTCTACATGAGCCTAGAGAGAGACATCTCCCCTCCAACCCCCACTTATTTTTTCATTATTACTTTTTCTTCAATCGGTGACCTTAGACCAGGGGTTCTCAACCCAGTCCTCAGGCCCCCCTACCAGTCCAGGGTTTAGGGATTACCTGGGTGTGTCTCAGGTGTTTAGAAAAAGGGTGAAAAAAGACACCTTAGACTCCAAGGTGTTTTTTTTCTTTTTCTAAACACCTTAGACACACCCAGGTAATCCCTAAACCCTGGACTGGTAGGGGGTCCTGAGGACTAACGTTGAGAACCCCTGCCTTAGACTAACAGCCTACTTTTATTCATAAAATGTGCACTGTACTCACTTAAATGTCCACATAAATGTCATACTATATTTGATGCCCAGTTTGTACTAGCTGTTGGGGCAGCACAAACTCACTTGTTTATTGAATGCACGAAAAAAATAAAGAATTAAATAAAAATTAGAGTGGAAGTTTCAGCATTGTCATAGGGAAATAGGAATTCCTAATCACAGCCATTTCATATAACAAAAAACAAAAAAAAAAATTTAATTTTTTTTTTAAATTAATGTATCATGTTTATAGCGAACTCATAAGTCCTCCAGTACCTTAGAGAGGACTGAAAATAAAAAAGCCCACACCATAAAACCCAGAAACTCTTCCTATATTTCCAGAAGCAGTTCTTTGTGGGGTGTTGGGGGGCCCCCATTGCAATCTGTTGGAAGTAAATCTATTATTTTAAATATAACATATTGCTGGCTTCCTATCCCAGCGGCCACATTGAGCATGTTAAAGCTTATACATGCGAACGTTACACAAGCGTCCTGATATTTTTATGCTGCATCATTACAACTAAACAGAAAAAGACTAAAAAGGTAAAACAAACAAGCTCTTATCGGCAAAACAAGATTTTCTCCTTTCCATAGCAACAAATCCAGCTCTCTTTAGTCTAAAGGGGTGCAGTATATACCTCCAGCACAAGCCACAGAGCGGGAACAAAACAGAAAGTTTTCACAAAACTTAGCAGGTCAGACGGCATTTCTATAGCATCCTGCCATAAATTTTTTTTAAAAAAGGTTCTCCTGTACAATCTTGGCCCATCATTCTAGACGTAAACACTATAGAAACCAATGGAATGTTCCTGTGGACTACTATTAGCAATACAGACCACGTGTGTTCTCTATACAGAATCCATAAGAGCTCTTCACTGCTGACCCATAAATCGTATTACCACCGTTGCCCCCAAATAATACACCGGACACCTTCTATAGTGGATACGGGCAACGTCACAGCTTTATTAAACATAACCAATTTTTAACATCATTCATAACAGTCAGCTGTAGCCCCAAAAAGTTCTCCAACCTTTCCCCTTCTCCCCTCCAAGAGCCTTAACAGTCGGCACTGATCAGCTCCCGTGTGTCAGGGTGGCGGTCCGGTGCCCAGAACCCAGACACTGTCCGGGCGGCGGTGCAAGGACCGGGACCCAGTATGCCTGATGTTCAGAGTAGGAGTCACAGTGTGGAGGTCGATTAGCAGGGTCTGGTGCAGGGTAACCGCACGGCCCCTGGTGTTGAGCACCAGCGTTTGTGCAGCCACATACCAGAACCCTGATTCAGTTCATGCGGATCCCAGGAACTAGGAGCTTGGAATTAAGCAGACCTCCCAGGAGCTGAATAGGGAGGCTCTGCAGCAGGTTTGTATCCAGTACTGAAGCAAGACAAGACTAGAGAATGGCACCATGCATGCAAACAAGACAAAACGAGGAAAACCCAGAACCAGAGCAGGACAGAAAGCAGAACATGTACACAATACATAAGGGAACATTAACATAACATGGGCATGACTGGACAGGACTGTACGTGGACTGGGATTACAAGACAAGAGATATAAGGTAAAACAAGAGGAGACATAACTAAGCACTATTTATGAAAAGTATGGGGATTTAGTTACATTATATGATCATACATTGCATAAGCCTGCCACAATGCCAATGTACCCCATATTCGGTCCTACACTGTCTAATGTTCGCTAAAAGAACCATACTGAACCACAATAGCACTTACCTGCAAGAAAGGGCAGAGACTTGAAACACTGCTGCAGGTCCAGACTGAAACAAAAGGAAAATGGAAAACAAACGGGTGTGGAAACATAAAACAAACATATAAATGAATCCAGGAGCCTGGGAAATCCAGGGACGGAATATAGGAATGAACCCAGAAAAACCCAGAATAAAGAAAACCAAAAAAAACTAAACAAGAATTGTAAAAAAAGAGTACTGGATACCAGAATGATCCGCAGCGAGGAACAGGATGTGACACCGTGCAGGCTGTCATCTCCCCAAAGCAACTCTTCGACTTGTCCTTTCCCCACCTGTGCTGTCCAGGAATACTGCCACTGGTTTGGGAACCACTTATCTAAACAATGTGTATTAATATACAAGATACATTGTTCTTGTTCTAAATTACATTTTAGTTTAATAAAAGTCACCTAAAATTTCTCATAACAGTCTACCCCTGTCTACACCCCTAAAATTAAAGTGTCCCTCTTTGTCCATTTGAAGTGTTGGAGGTGTGTGGGAGATAAAATAAATTAAGGACTAAAATGAGAGAGAGTTTTGCACCAATGGGAGAAGACCATCACTGAGCCACTGCTTCAGCTTCCACCGAGTTCTGGGATGTCCTCAGTTATTCTGATATCTAAGAGACAGCGCCAAGTAATCACGGAATCATAGAGCAATTGGGCGGACGTCGAGAAGGTTCAGACGCAAGTACTACATTTTGAAAGTAGTTTGATTTAAATATTGGTGTAAAGATATAGAAGTGGATGTCTGACTGGAAAGATTTACATAATCTCTGGATATGCTCATAAAACTAAGAAGAAGATTAACAATTTTTTTTTTTTATTTTG